GCAGCCTCCGAGGTGGCTTGAGAGGACCAAGGCCAAGGGACACAGGACCTCCCCTTCCCAGAGGGACCCCCCTTTCTTACTGCAGAGCTGCTCGATGGTGGCCCACTGCTCTGATTTCTTCCAGGTCTGTGCCAGCTCCTCATTCTTGGTCCTCACAGCTTCCAGCAACAAGCTGATGCTGTCCTGGAAACCATAAGAGGGAAATCAAGCACCGGCCTCTCCTGCAGTGCCCAGGCTGGGGCTGTGAGCAGGGAAGTGCCTCCTGCCCTCCTCCACCAGCCACAGCAAGACACAACTGTGAGTATGAGCTGTTCTAAACTGGCCTTTGGTTGCCCTCGTGAGGTTCACAGGCAGGGAGCAAGCTGCAATTACCCCAACACTCACAAACACCCCTCAAACCCAAACACTTCCTTTTCCTCTCCTTAGAGGAGGTTACCACCGAACCAAGCTGCACTGCCCTGTGCAGGAGAGCATGTGGGTGCTGCGGGCTGAGCCTGGCACCCAGGGGTGCAGACCCACTGTGCTGGAGCGCCCCAACCCCACGCACAGCCCCAGCCCGATCTCCAGCCGCCCAGGGTCAGCCCTGCTGCCCCACACGTGTCCTCGAAGCCTCTGGCAAGGACGTGGCCCTTTGCTCTGGCGTCCAGCGGTGCAGATGTGGAGCAGGGCCCTGGGCCAAGCCCCCGGTGCCCGGCCAAGGGAGTCGTTGGCCTCACGGATCCGAGGGCTCTGATCCCATTATCGTTCCGACAGGAATTTCTGATTGTGAGATACTTGGACAAACACTCCCAGCTCCCAGAGCCGCAGCCAAGTTGGCTCTGGCCGGTCTGTGACCATGTTAACAACCACCCCCGCTCGCTGCTCTGAGCTCGTCTTGATCTTTGGCTTTAAACCTCCTACCAACAGCTCAGCCTGGAAGAGGAGGTGCTGGGCCGGAGGCACCCCCTGCCCTGCACAGATGGGACGCTCACGCCGTGCACAGATGGGTCGCTCACCTCCACGTGTCAGCCCTAAGTGACACCCCGGAGGAGCTCAGGGCCCCGGTGATGCCGACCCGACCCGTTCCTCCCCGTTACGTACCCGCAGAGGCATGACCTCGTTCGTGACCAGGAAGAGGAGCAGATGGAAATCAGAAATGATGTCTAGGAAGATGGAGGAAGTATTCTGGGACAGATACGTGGCCAAGCTGTGGAAGTCCTGGAGAGAGGGGAACAGTAATAAAGAGAAGTCACTTCTCCCCACGTGGTGTCTTTATTTTCCTGTGCGGATTCACTCTGACGCTCCCGTCCAGCCCCTCCTCTTTCTCTGCTCTTGAACCCCGGGTGTCCTCGGAAACGAGGACCAAAGCCAACCTCTCCCAAAGCCACAACGGGCAGCGACTGCTTTGTCGTGATGACTCCTGGAGGAAGCGTTCGACACCTTTGGCACGGCCTCCTTAAAAACGAGCTGTTGCTGCTTTAAACAACTCGAGGTTTGTGTGCGCTGGCAACACCCAGAGAGCCTCGTGCTGTCCAGCAGCTGCCTCTGCTCAGCCCTATGGGCCTCTTGCAGGAAAAGGTCTTACAGAATCCCAGCCTGGTTTGGGTTGGAAGAGACCTTAAAGCTCCTCCAGCTCCAACCCCTGCCACGGGCAGGGACACCTTCCACTAGAGCAGGTTGCTCCAAGCCCCTGTGTCCAACCTGGCCTTGAACACTGCCAGGGACGGGGCAGCCACAGCTTCTCTGGGCACCCTGTGCCAGCGCCTCAGCACCCTCACAGGGAAGAGCTTCTGCCCCAGAGCTCATCTCAGTCTCCCTTCTGGCAGGTTAAGGCTGTTCCCCTTATCCTGAAGTGCTCCTTACCTGAGTTTCTCCCAGCACATCACGGTTCTCGATGGGGAATGGATTTTGAGAAATAGAAAACGTGTAGACTGGATCCTTGGGAAAAGTTGTAGTAATCTGTAAACCCAAGACAGGACGATCAGAGCGCTGGCAGGAGGAGAGGCAAGTGGGCTACGGGAAGCTCCTGGTAGCCAAGAGCAGCCAGGCTACATGTTAGAGCTCAGCCAGGAAGACAGCAAGGGAATTGCAGCTGGGATCTTCCAATGGCTTTTAATACTTCAAGTGATATTCCAATCAGCAGAGCCCTCAGCTCCTGGCAGTTGTCCCTCATGGAGCTGGAGGGAGATGTACTGATGTCACCTTAACACCAAGGGAGGACAGGGCACAGTCCCCATGTCTGGCCCTGGGGTAGCTGCGGGTGCCAAGAAAACACCTTTGCACCTCACAGAACAGTCACCCTGTGCTCTGGGTGCACTCACTGTGTGCCAGAGGGGTGGGAACGGGACAACAACATCGCACCCGCGTTACTGAGCTCACAAACCAGAGTTTAGACCAGCCTCTGATGTTTAAGCCAGTCCAAATCCTGAGGGCTTTGAGGTTCAGTGGCAGTTAGTGACCTCTGGGCTCTGCCATTGAGGCCCTTTGTAAGCAGAGCTGCAGCAATACCTGCCAGGGCAGCACTGGCTGCAGTAAAGCCTTTTTTCCCTTTAAAGAGACAAACCACAACGTTTCTGAAGTGCAACTTTCCAGACAGCTCCTCCATGCATGTTCCATCCATCTCTTTTCATCTTAATTGCACCCCAGGCACCTGGAAACAGATGCTCTTACTACTGGAGTAATAAATTTGCTGCAGTGCTGCCGAGGGGCACAAAGAGCCCCTTGTTCTGGACACACCATCTCTCTGTGTCACACCTCCCAGCGCCAGCCCCGGTGACAAGTGACACAAGTGACCTGGGATGAAGGACGAGCCACCAGCTTCCCGCAGGACACCGCCTGTGCCAGGGGCAGCTGCACCCCACCAGTTGCTCCAGGTGGATTTACTCATCACTGGCACCACCTCCAGCTCCAGCAATATCATCTGTCATCCCAATTGTCTGCTTCCCTTCCACAGCCTCCCTGCGAGCCAAAGGGCAGAGCCGTGCCCCAGGGCCTGGCAGCGCTCGCTCAGGGGCAGGCAGAGCCCGACTCCAGCCAAGTGCTGCAGCGGGAATTCCCTCCTCCAGGAACAGGCATTTCTGCACAGCCAACCTGCTCTGCTGAGTCACTGGAAGGGGATGGATTGCAGGAGACAGGCGACTGGAGCTTCCTCATTAGCTCCCCGTGAGGTAGTGCCCAGCACACGTATCCATGGGGCTGGCTGCTTCCCCCCCATATGGCTACGTGCCAGCTGGGATCACACACCAGGCGGTGTTTTCCCAGGAAGCAAGCGTGTTCCCTGGCACTACATGGATCTCAAGGAGTTCTGCAACTACCCCAGAGCACATCTCAGTGCTAGAAATGCCTGGCAGCAGAGGGGAAAGGAGAAAGGAGGAATATCTGTCCTATGAATCACCTCCAATGTGAATTTAGAAGTGGGTTAAAAGCTTCCCTCCGCCCTGACCATCTCCTGCTGCAAGCAAACAAGTGCAAGGAATACTTACATCTATGATTAAGTACTCCACCGGGAGCGGGCGAGCCAGCTGTGTGATCTCATTGCCAAACTTGTCTATGTCCTGAAAAATAAGAGTCTTATTATTCCTCAGCATGGAAGTGAAGCCAACGGGATCCTGCCCTGGAGACACCCACACAGGAGCCCGGGATCCTCGGCTTGGGCAGATCTAAGGGTGCAGAGAAGAACCTGCTCCTACGTGGCTGGTGCTGCCCAACTCCCGGCGGCTGGAGAGCTCTGTATCTCCATAGGGAGGACATGAGCGTGGTCACGACCCAGCTTGCTCTGTTTGCCTCCGTTGTCACCAGCAGGGAGGTGCCTGGCACCAGTGTAAATGCCGTTTTAAGACGCAGGGTGCCTCAGAAGGGAGGGACAGCACCACAGCTGCTTTCTCAGCCAAGGCAAACCTGACTTTCTGCAGAACTGGTTGCGAGTCTCTCCCTTGGGAGGTGGAAATCCCGGCTCTTTCTCACACACAGCCTGAAGAACCAGCACATCACAAGGCACAAACTTGTTTTGCTTTGCCAGGCACACTGAAGGTAAAGTTTAATTATGGAGAGAAACGGCCAGCATATGTTCATTAATCATGGGATGACAATTAGACGTGATTGATGTCAAACACGCCGAGTTCAAACACGGCTCCAGAAATAAATTCATGAGAACTGACACTTTTCATTAAAGATGCTCTACGAGGGGGTTGTATTCTCTACCTAAATCATCACTTAACATGTTATAAATCATTCACTGAGCCCCATATAAATCACACGCCCATAATTCCCAATCAAGGGCCTTACACTGAAGTTTGCATTCACAGAGCTCTCGGAAGCCCCCGTGGCTGGAGGCAGCCCCGGAGCCGTCACCCCGACACCTC